TTTATCAAAAACTGGATCACTGAATAATGTAATTGAAGAATTTCCATTGGCTTAACAATCATGATATATGAGCGATTATACCATGCTCTACAAATATGGTTAGCGTATGCATAACTGTTAGAGCGTTTTATTGTTGTTTTATTTTAGTTTTTTTGTATGTTTTTTTTTTTTAATATTTGGGGGCATTTTTAGTAAAACAATTATTGCACTCGCGCTTCTTGGATATGAGATGATCATAGCCATCTTAATGCTATGCGCCTCGTTGGCTATCCATCATCTCTTATAATCCATCAAATACTTTCGCGCGCACGTGATTGGTCCAAACACATCACGTGACCGAATATTCCCCAGCTATTCAAAACTGCGCATACTGCGAAAAATATTTGAAGGATAATAGACACAATAGCCTGCATTTGGCGCAATAATCCGCTCGGATATTTGTCCTTGGACATTATCTGTTCATCCAAGCTCACAGTTTTCCTTGAGCTACGCTCTCTGAAATCTGTTCGCTTCTCGAAACAGATAATGTCCGCGGGAAAATATCCGACCATATTTCCGCGCTAAATGGAGGCTATTATTTATGTATCCGACGCGCGCTCTTGGAATAATTGTTAAAGACAGCCCTTCTTTTTTGGTTATATATTGTCATAACTCAATTCAAGGATAATTTCTTCTTGAAATTGATTACTTCTTGCTTCTTCAAGCTTCTTCTTCGGTATTGCTTCTTTTTATATCGTATCAGCCTTTCATACCCCTACACCAATGCATCATTTAACAAATTGACGTCATTTTTTCTTCATCTGTCCTCTAATTGATGTTAAATTGCGTTATGATATTGTCAAAGTGGCTGCGGAACCACTCGCCTTCCCGTTGGGGTCCCACAGCCACTTTGACAATGTTATGACGAAATTTATCATCAATAAGAGGGCAGACGCATGAAAAAACTTACGTCTATTTGATTTTACAATAACAAGACCCCAAAATAGTCAAATGCCGAGGGGAAAAGACGCCGTAAACTTACCGTAAACAAAGACAAGTGAAATTTATTCAAAATGACGCCAACATTGTCAATACAATTTCTCGCTTTTTGATTGGCTACTTAAAAAAGTCCATAAAATCTCATTAGTTAAAAAGTTGGCAGTTTGACAGCTAAAAGTTGAACTTGAAAGCTAACATAAATGAAAATCCGACTGTACTCTTATTGATGATAAAAATGAACCAATCAGCGCTCGAAAAATTAGATAGCTATTGCAAAAAATAAATAAATAAATAAATAAATAAATTGAGAAATAACGCTTTTAAGTATCCTGAGGTTACCTGCAGCTAGTGGACAGTATATTGCTTAGTTTACATTGTTTTTGAGTCAGACTGCCTCATGTCCTACACCTAATGTGCTCAGTTCCTTATATATCCACAACAACCGTATTTTGATTCAAATGCTTTTCCAGTATCGACTTTTACTGCCCCAATAGGCAAAATGTATATTTTACTGGTCACCAGTTTTGTCGGTTTTTTAAAATTCTTTTTTAGCAATTTTCTTTCATTACTTTGATTAGTTTTGAGCCATTTTGATGGTTTGGTCAGGTCTTCTAACAGTGAAACCGCTGAAACTATCCAAACTGTTAAATTCTATCAATTTAAGTTGAAAAATTGTTAAGATTATTAACGGCTCTGTAACTTTACTTACCTTTATTTGATTTCTATATTGTCCTTGCCAGCTTCCTGGAATATAGTAGGAATAACCAAGTCTGTTGTTTGGGGAACGTTTCCCTTGTATGGATTGACTGTACGAATGTGAGTGCAACGCAGAAAAAAT